TAGAACCGTGATGTTGGCACTTCCATTCAATGTTCGATTATCCTTGCCATTTGGTTCTCCGTTGTTCGACCCCTAAATCCTAAACCCCAGAATATGGGCAATTATCTGGGCCCGGGCCCCTCCACCCTCCCAAATCCCATAAAATTGGTATTTACTTAAGCCCCTACAGACATCCTAAGACCCGACACAAGGCCCAGGCCCCAAGTCCATTCTTGCGCTGAAATTTAGATCATTCGTTTCGATTCACTTCTTGATTCTTGCACCGATAACCTTTCTGCTTCATTGGATATGGGAAAGCTTCAACATTATTGAGCTCTACACCCATGATGTTGAATATTCAACTGTTCCGCTTTGGAAGCCCGGCTCTTTTGTTTTGCTTTCACGACGATTGTTTCTGCACATGCAGTTGATGGACTACATGGGCGGGTCCCAAAAAATTGAATGTGCTTTTTTGCAGGGTCCTTCTGGAAGATTCACGGACTTCGGTGCGGCCGGGGGGGGGGCCGGAGATTTGGTCCCTGGAAGACTTTAGAGCGAGGGCTTAAATCTCTTTAAAACAATCGCGATACCCATGACCCATACGTTAGGTTTCATAAAGCTCTACAACTTGTTAATGGGACGAAGGGTTAAGCGGCCATCGGGCAAGAAAGAAAGCTCGAATGCTTTGGCCCCATCTGAGGTTCTACTATTCTAATTTTACAGAGGAGCCATGTGCCGCGCGCTAACATCAAGCGGCGGGTCCTTCCGATGCCGCCCGCACAATGCCATGTTTGCGTGGGAGCTGACGGTTTCCAGTGAGGGCTTGACACAAACAACAGCCCTGTAAACCCTGAAAGGGTCTTCTGCACTGCGGCAAACTTAGGATGGCAACTGCCAACGGCCTGAAACATGAAATCTTCCTCCAATCACTGGGATATCACAAACACCACAGCTGCGGCGGCGAAATTGTAATGGCACAGTCCATGGACCCTTCTAGGACAGTGGTGGGGTACCCTACTTGCAGGCCCATGGGACTTGGTAACCACTTATAACTGGGCCTATAACCCTACTTCGAAACTCCCGAAATGGGCTTATCGGGGTTACCACAATTATAAATAAACTATAACCCCAGTTATAAGTAGTTACCAAGTCCCATGGTCCTCCAAGTAGGCTTCACCAAACGTACATTGCAGTTTCATTCACTCCTTCTCCTCGAAGAGCTGGGCAGATGTAAGGACATTTGAGTAGTGTCTTTTTGGTAGTTGAACCTAGTAAGATAATATTCCTTATATGAAATGGGTTTAGGGTTTAGGGTTTAGGTACTATACCCAAAAGGAGGATATAATCTTACTCTGTATTGGTTACCATAGAACCCCGAATACAATACTACTCATGCTGGCTACGCCAACACCGATAACAAAGACACTACAATGATCATATCATTTTCTTACGAGAGGGTCCTACATTGGAAGGTTTGGAGTTACCTGAATCCCACTCCACTGTAATCGTGGAGTTTTCTGCGTCAGGGTTGCCTTTCTTGTTCTGATGATGGTCATGGGCAGCTCTCAAGATTAAATTGGTGCTCCTTACGAACCCAAGATAAGAAGATCCTCAATCTCAAGACCCCGCTAAACAACCCACACATGTGGGGAAAACCTCCCATCATCTTGACATCCGAACTCCCTTGCTTAAAGCTTCCCTGAACCCTATCTAGAGCAACTCAAACCCAAGGACAAGTTCCGAAATACTGGCTACAAAACTTTTCCCTTTTGGGAATAGAGGTAAGCCGCAAGAGCTGAATCCTACCCCCGAACACTACACCCCAACCAAGTCCTATCTCCAAGAAGGAACCCATACAGTGGGTACTAAACATCCCGCATGACCGTACGCGCCTGATACCGTAGGAACTATAGAACTAAAGTATACAAAGGTGAGGGGTGAGGGATCGAAAAACACATAAGGATCAACAAAAAACAAAAAAAAAAAACAACAAAAAAACAAAATAAGGATCAACAAACCTAAAACCCTTGAAAATTGCGAAAGCTTCCAGGATTGGGGCTCGCCGGTTCAAGGCCGAGGATCAAAAAAACAAAATATTGTAAAATACGATTCCTGTGACTGCTGCTACTTTGTGAACTCCAAGAGGATCGAAGGGTCCAAAAAGGACGACACTTACGAGGATCCCGACCCCGACCCTCTCGATCCCTATGACTGTTTACACTTTTCAAATTCAAGAGGGAATCGGGGGTCCAACAGCGACGACAGTTACAAGGTTGTTCGATTCCTATGTCCACGATCCCTGTGAATGCTGACACTTCTGAAGATTAAGTGGGAGCCGAGGGTTCAAAAGCCNNAAGCCACGACAGTTACGAGGCTCGCTGGGTGATTTTTGTGATCCCGAAAAAGTGTTGAACCCAATTTTCATTATCCTGAATTAAAAAATTCTTCATGCGCACTGCCAACCACAAGATTCCTGACTCAAAAACCCTGATTGCTCTATTAAGTCCTACTTCGTAGCCATTTCGAGAATTCCTGCGAATAAGAGTGACGAGACGTCTTTCTTTCTTTCCTTCCTTCCTTCCTTCCTTCCTTCCCTCCCTCTTCTCTCCTTCTTCCCTTCTTTCCCGTCTTTCCCTTCTTCCTTTCTTACTTGCTCCCCTCCCTTCCTTGTTTCATGGCTTCCTTCCTTCCTGCCTTCCTGCCTTCCTGCCTTCCCGTCCTTCCAGCTTTTCTGTCTGTCTTACTTGTTGTTCTTCCTTCCTCGCTTCCTGCCTTCCCTGCTTCCTCGCTTCCTTTCTCTCTGGTAGGATTTTTTGGTTTTTTCTTGATCCTCCCGTGCGCCGGCTGCAGGGGGCCGGTTTTCCTTTGATTTCTCTCTATATGTTCATATTTTGTTTTTTTTGTTCATCCTTATTTGCTTTCTTAAATCCTTATTTGGTTTTTTGATCCTTTGTTGTTTTTCTTCATGCACATCCCTACAAAGGTCAGGGTTTAAGGTTTATGGGTTGGCGTTTTTTACTTGGCTAGTTTAGTGTAAGAACCCCGGAACCGAAACAGGCAAAACGGTACCACTAGGGGCCGCTCTGCAGCAGCTGGACTTCCTCGAATTCCCAGACTAACTAGCAACTGGGTTGCTGTCAAGGGGGGGTTTCCCAAAATCAGTTGAGGGTGAAGGGTTAAGGGTTGAAGGTTTAGGGGTAATGGGGTTTCCATATTAAGTTACCCTAATATGGAAACCCCAGTAAGTAATATATACCCACATTGTGGCAACTTGATTCAAGTACTGAAACCAGGGGTAGGCGCAGTGCATGCAGTAGCTTACTGGTGGTTAGCAGGGAAAACGGGAACAGAATGCCCATACAATTCCTATTTCATATGTTGCCTGCTTTCCTGCTAACCCCCAGTAAGCCAGGGGGCCCTCGTTTTGAGCCCGCAGATTCGGATGGGTGGCCCACTTTGGGACCGCACTTCGACCGCTGCTGTTTTGGTCTCACAAGATGGCAAGGTTGCAGGGAAGCTCGGTGCCTCTGGGTCAAAACATTTAGGATTTAGGGTTTAGGGCATACAACACTCAAATATGAGAAGACACTGGACATGGGGAACATAGACCCAATGTCGTCGGGCTTGTGGGGTTGTAAGCGAAGTGGTCGTCTCCTTCTTCCCTCCTTCAATTCTTTACCTGACAGCTCTCTATGCTGGAGTTTGAAAATTTCTTAGAAATCACGGGCATGATCATGGCACACTTTCACGCCACGTCTCTCCGTCATCTCCACTCTCAACACTCCATCAAAAGAAGTGTTCCAGCCGAATGCTCAAGAAATGTCCATACCAACACACAATCATGCACTGCTGACAGCACAGGTACCAAAAAGGAACTGCAGGGGTGTAAGACTGCGGCGCTTGTCACCGTTTGGCTATTGGCTTCACGGCTCCTTCCGGACACTTTGCCCGAAAGAGGGCCTGAATGCTAATTCTGCCACCAAGTTGTCAGCGAGGAGATTTTACACGACCTGCCCTACCTTGAGCATCTGCAGTTTTCAACGTTGACGATACTTAACTCTGCACTTGACTCCAGCAAGCAGTAAACCGTCCCATGCGAAGATCTGCATGACCGTGAATATACAACATCATGTCACAAGCAAGGTCATTGGGATTAAGGCAGCGATGCAGGTTTGCGTCTGCTCTACGAGAATGTCTTTTTTAGACCCCCCCGTTCCTGTCCAGGTCTCTTCTCTACGTGCCAACCTGCTCACTCAGTGGTCAATAGCATCAGTTGGACATAATGGGCCCAAATACAGCTACTACGAACACATCCGCTGAGCTTCCGTCATAGGCCTGGCCACGTCGACATTGCGCACGCAAGCGCAGAATTGAACCTGCAGCGCCACATCACTTCAAAGCATCCGGACTTCAGATCTTGATGCAAAACAACAGGAGCTTGCAGCGGCTGCGGTTTGCCCTTCTCTCATTCTGATATTGGGCCCCTATGTAACTTTTCGAATCGCAGGTGACCACTATGCTTTTTCCAGTAATCATGCAGCACCATGTACACATCTTCTTACCCTTGGTAAATCCTGTGTGACCTTGCTCATCGCATGGTCTGTGAATGTCTCTGAATATGAAGCACGATAGAGCATGCTATGTGCATATTTGGTCAGGATTTCACTGGCACTTGGAACACACTAGCGAGGTGCGGGTAACGTCTGGGTGCTTTGCCAGCTCTTGTAGCCACAAGTGCACCCAAAACGTACTGGAAGGGTCTAGCTGTCCAGCTGCCTTCTGATCTAAATGTCTCATATGATTTTGGCGTTGCACATTGCTCATGCTATACGCAATGCGTGCTGCAGCAGATTCCGCAACAAAGCACTCAGCCTCCAAACTGGGCTAATCGTACTACAACTGTGCCCGAGG